CCATCATCATCATCCTCAGACCTGTAGAGTAACTGTAGAGACACTCAGTCCAGCTCCTCTGTATCTAAACATTAACATTCCATCATCATGCTCAGACCTGTAGAGACACTCAGTCCAGCTCCTCTGTATTTTCACACCGTATATCATCTGTAGAGCAGCTGTACAGCTCATCTGTCTCTGCGCTGTCCCCTCTCTCACTGTACATCCCGTACTGTGCAGCAGTGTGTTGTGCTCTGGGTGAGCAGTGCTGTCCCTCTCTCTCTTGCGCAGTGCGGAGATTGACCAGAAGCTGCAGGAGATCATGAAGCAGACGGGATACTTGAAGATCGACGGCCAGGTCAGTGCCAGGATCTCCTGCGATTGCACAGCAGGTCTTTTGGTCCAGCAGGGCTCAGAACGTGAGAGACGGGGTGCTGTTCGGCCTCGGCCTGTGGAAGTGTCTCCCGGCACGTTCCCTTGGGTCTTGGCTCCTCGGACGGCCCGAGGCTCCTCTCCAGTCGGCCCGAGGCCCCCAGCAGGGCTCTGCGGAGACCCTGACAGTGTTGCTGGCCAAATTATGGCTGTTCATAGTCTTGTGGCTTTTAGACGCATCCTTTGTCCATAGGGATGCTGGACAGTAGCCTTTGTGCGTTTTCCAGCTGGCAGGTATTGCTTGATCGGTTTATCAATTGATCGATTGGCTGCGCGAAGCTCTGCTGGCACCGGTTCGGTTTGGCATCTCTGTGGTCGGGTGAGCCGGTGCAGAGCAGACGGGTGACAGTTTCTGACGGGCCGTTGTGATATCGTTGCTCGTTTGTGATGATGTCGTTGTTGTACCCAGAGGTACCCAGCCGAGGTCAGTGACCTCATCAACGAGGGGGAGATCGGCAGCGGCACCTGTGGACAGGTGTTCAAAGTGCGGTTCAAGAAGACCGACCACATCATCGCCGTCAAGGTCAGCACACACACGCTGGGAGTGAGGGAGCCCCTCACTGGGAGGGAGTGAGGCGCTCAGTGAGAAAGGCAGCGCTTCTCTGTGGGGGAGATTGAGAGGGAAAGGCATTCAGCTTGGGAAAGTGAGACAGAGTGAGCCCTTCACCTGGGGAGAGAGAGTGAGACGTTGTTAAGAGATAGATAGTCAGTCTGAGAGCCCCAGATTAGAACTGACAGGAATAAATCTGAATCCTGAATCCTCTCATTCTTATTTTTGTAACATTGGTGACTGATGTCAGGATTGATTTTACTTTCAATTGTTTTAGCAAATGCGACGGACGGGCAACAAGGACGAGAACAAGAGGATCCTGATGGACCTGGATGTGGTTCTGAAGAGCCACGACTGTCCCTACATCATACAGTGCTATGGCGCCATTGTCACTAATGTGAGCAGAGACAGGCACCGGGGGGGGCAGAGATGGGTCCTAGGGATGGGTGGAGCCTGGCCCTGGGGGGTGGAGATTGTCATGGGGGTGGAGTCTGAAACGAGGGGGTGGGGTATAGGCAGGCATTGTGGGGTAGGAAGAGACTTGCAGAGGCACAGTGGGGGGTAGGTGGAGACCTGCAGACCTGATTTAAGATTTTAAATTTGGACACCGTGTGAAACTACTGCTCTGATTTGGTCTTTTCCTCTTTCTTAACACAGTATATACACATGTGAACGTGTGTTTGTTTCTCTCTGTATTCTCACTGCATGTGCAGACGGACGTGTTTATTGCCATGGAGCTGATGGGGACATGTGCAGAGAAGCTTAAGAAGAGGATCCAGGGACCCATCCCTGAGCGCATCCTGGGAAAGATGACCGTAGCCGTGAGTGTCTCCAGTGTCTGTGTGTAGATAGTGAAGGCCCTGCTGTATCTGAAGGAGAAGTGTGTTCTCTCTCTCTCTCTGTCTGTGTGTAGATAGTGAAGGCCCTGCT